TCCTCCTCCTCTTCCTCCTCCTCCTCCTGCTCCTCCTCCTCTTCCTTCTTTTTTGTACCAGGAATCAAACTCAGAACCTTGTGCTTTCCAGGCAGGTGCTTGTGCTGCTGAGCTATCTTCCCAGCATCTTCTTTTTTTGGAAGTGGGTTTGGTGAAGGTTGAACAGTTGATGGACATTCTCCATTTTTCCTCTTGAGTCCTGGCTCCAGTTCTACCAAGGACAGATTCTTGTCAATGGGGATAAAACATATGTCCTTTTTCTTTAGAAAAACATGGAAAATCCTATTTTCCCTATAAGTCACAGCTGATATTTGTTCTTAGCCCTCAAAATTTTATTCAGGCTTCTCAAATAGACAGGAAAGCACTCCATAAACACTTGTTAAAGAATAAAGCTAGGAATAGTTTTATATATTTAATTGCAAGAAAAAATATAAGAAGCTGTCAAGAGAGATGGAAAATATCTGCTATATGATTGTATAAAGGTTAGAATGGATTTATGAAAAAAAATCAGATCTACACAATCTGACATATTCCTTGTTGATATTCTTTTATGAAAATTAATGATTAGAAGGTGTCATATTAATATATTATATAAAATTTAACCCAGACAAAAAGTATATTTTAAAAAATATTAGAAAATTGGGGTGCTGGGGAGATAGCTCAGTAGAATAAGCACTTGCCTGGCAAGCCCAGGGTCCTGAGTTCAATCCCTGGTACTGGGAAAAAAGAAAAGAAAATTGGTTTAGAGAAACAATATTAAAGTGAACATCCAATTAATAGAAACAAATATGTTTTAAACTGTATCTATACAGGATGAAGTTATAAAACATTTCAATTTGTGATATCTTAAAAAGTTCTTATTTTGTTTTTTACTTGACTGGCTTGACCAAATCAACATGCTGCTTTGGATCCATAGATACTGAGTTGTGGTTTATTATTGGATGAGACAAAATAAATAAAGAAAGGCTTGGGTACTTATGAACTCTTTGTTTCATATTTGAATTTTTCATAAGTGGTAGCATTATCTTATTTAGTATAAGTACAAAATTCCTTTAAAAGCCCTAATTTTTTTAATGGAGAATTATATTTGGAGTATTGTAGATTTTAGGAAAATCTTGAAATTCCCCCCAAGTTATTAGCTTCTGCTTATTGTAGATAACTTTATTATCCTAAACTGAGGAAGACTACTTCAGAAACATGGTCTACTAATATTGAAGTGAGTCACTCTTTTAGTGACCAACCCACTAGACATGGTAAATTATGTAATGCTTACATTCTATTTATTTGTGCTACCAGCAACCATCACAGAGCCTGGGACCCAGTAGGCACATAATAATGACTTAATAAATGAGGGAACAGTTCTTAGAAGTCCCCATACTAGTCTTAACACTGTCTCTTATAGTTCCTAAGCCCGAGGTGAGATCTTATTTATTCAAGAGCTCCTGAAATGTCTCCCTAACTCCTGATGGTGTTATTCAGTTCCTGACTGATAGATAAGTCCTTAATTCAGATTAGTTTTCTCCTTATTTTCTGGTGCATTGCTAAGTTCTGAGGTCTTGCCAACTTACCATAAAGAGACTAAGCTTTCACTTCCACAGATAGAAACTCCAATGCTAGTTTTTGCTCGCAGGCCCCTTTCTTTCTTTCTTTCTTTCTTTCTTTCTTTCTTTCTTTCTTTCTTTCTTTCTTTCTTTCTTTCTTTCTTTCTTTCTTCCTGAAACTGTGGATTGAACTCAGGCTGTTGTGCTTGCCAGGCAAGTGCTTACTCTACTGAGCCATCTCCCAGGCCCCCACAGGCCCATTTCAAATTGAGCAGGTTCTCCTAGGAGCCATTGCAAAAGATTTTCTTTTGTGACCATGACTTTGTCCTAGAGAGACTTCTCCTTCCATAATTGTGGAGTCTCAACCAGATGAGATTCTCTCCATGTTCATACCGGGGAAAAAAGTGTGCTCGTCTTTTATGTTGTTTTGAATACTGGGAGTTGTACTGCTGGTGTGAGGCTCAGCTCATTGGAAGCCAATCTTTCATGTGAATAAAGTGGCTCCGGAAGAATCTGCCTCCGAGCTCCTTCTTTGGTTTAAATCATTCTCAATTGGTTTAAATCATTCTCAAGCTATCGTGACTCAGGGACAGGATGCCCTTTCTCACTGTTTTCTATCAGCCACCCTTCCGGTCACCAAGAACTTTTAGCCCTAAGTTCGTGGTCAACAAGTCAGGTTACTCAGCCTTCTAACAGGAGGATATTGCTATGGCCTGAAAAAATGTTAATTAACCTCTCTTGTTATTCACAAATTTGCCCCTGTATTCTTTCTCTAATTTCCAGAAATATTGAATACATTCTGGCATCAGGTTTAATTGCTCTTATTCTGAATTCCCTGACTTCTGGGCGTTTCTCTGTCATAATATTTTTCTTATTGTACTGTCTTTCATTTGTTCATTATTGTCATTATTATCTTGTGGTAGCAGGAGTTGTGTCAAACCTGGGAACTGCTGCTTGCCAGGCAGGTGTTTATATCACTGAGCTATCTCTCCGGCCCCTGGCTTTCATTTGTAAATGTGAATGTGCTTGTTCATGAATTGGATCAAATTATTTATTTATTTATTTATTTGAATTTTTTCCCCCATAATTTTATTGATAAACAAATAGCAATGAGACAGTTTCAAATTAAATTGGTAGGACAGTTTCAATAATTAACACATTGCATACGTTCTTCCTAGTGGTTAATTGCTGTACAAGATGCGGACATGATATCCTACTTACAAACACCATTAGAACAAATCACTCTATTCATTAAGAGAATGTAACTATATATCTATCTTAACCACTTTGAATACACAGATACAAAATGGACATACATCTGTATACCCTTTTTGTTTGAATTTTTAATAAATTTTATTAAAAATG